AACTATCAGAAATTGTATATGGGGCTTGTTGCAAGGTCAGATAGATTGTTACAGACTTTTTTACATGACGATCTCTGTGTGAATATGTGTATTACATACGAAAAAGAATTGTTCAGGGAATGTGTGCACTTTAAAAATGCTTCCTCATTTTTGTATTGACCAAATAGCCTGTGCTTCTTTGGAATGCTTATTCTTTGGTAAAAATACGGTCATTGATGATGACACTTTCTTTTGTAAAGATCTGCTTCTGCATCCCTGCAGTATTTCCTTCACGTTTGTGTCCCTTAAACCTTTTATGTGGACCTCTGGCCCCGTTGCCGGTTGCAGTCTCTGCCTTGGTTTTGTGTATTCTGATAAGATACTTTATAAACACAAATGTTTACAGTGAAGTTCTTCCTCTTGAAATTGACCTTCGTCTTTTCTCCTGAAAATTGGTTGGCCATGCTCACTAATGACTAACATTTTTCTAAACAATAATTACTTCTTGCTATTGGTAGAATTAGATTGCTTGGTCAGAGGATTGCCCAGTTTAACTATGTATATCTTTTTCAAATAAATTAAGTCAAATCTTTCTAATCTTCAGTCTGCCTCCATTTTTAGTTAACTGGATGGAACTAGAAACAGAAGCCTTCCCTCGCCTATTTAAACTCTACACTGTTTGGGACCTAAATAAGTTTGGATAATTAACAGGTTGCCCAAGGTCCTGATCTTTCAGTCAAAGCCAGCTGACAGCACCACAGTCCGGTGTAAGCCTTGCTGACTAGCCTCAGTGGTAATACTTACTACATTCTTAAGTACCAAGACTGCCTCTCAACCTCAGAAAACTTCAAATGGCTCATTTCCACAGTAAGTAATGAGTATATTTTGAAAGAAGGGCTAGGAGAGAATTTTCTACTTGCTGAATTCATATTAACAGAGATAATTAATTCACCTCTGATATGGAGAGTTCAGAATTTCCATTACTTAAGAAAATACTTCATTACTACCTTTCATTAATGATTTATTCCACAGCCCTCCTGCAACTAGAAGTGATTGAAAGCCACCATCTTCTTGTATGTTTTGCCAGCCAAGAGGAAATTGAAAATAATAACTTGATGCCAGAAAGTACTTAAAATTAAAAAAAAAATCCCACACATTTTAATTCCCCTGATTACTGATTCTCTTGAGCCCTTTGATGTTAATTGGATGATCAGAAGCAGTTGTCTACTATCATGCACCCCGCTTTTCAGGGTTGACCTGCTTTTTGTTTGTTGTTTCCAGATATCCTTAAGAACGACTTCCCCAACTCTTTGTTCTCTTTTGCAAATTTTCCTGGCTATTTCTGGACCTTTATTGTTCCAGATAAATTTTTAACATCAGTTTGTTAGGCTTCACAAAAACTGTTGCTCTTGTCTTCATTTCTTGAGTGAAATTTTTTTTATAAAGTTTAATGTTGATAGGGTAGAATCACTAGCTATAAGCATAATTTCTGTCTTTCCCAGGGTTGATGCTCTTCTCTTCTTTAATAGCTTCACACTTGGAAGTGTTTCAACAGGATAAGAACCTGACTATCCTAACTGGCTGATAGGAGGGCTTAGTGCAGTTATAAGGAATGCTGGCACATTGTTCCTTAACATACAGAACTAATCTGGGTACATTTTGTAGACCAATTGCAGATAAGACGTGTCACACCTAAATTCCTAGGTGATGTGCTTGTATGTGTATTTGTATGTGTGCACACCTTCAAATAAAAAGGAGAAACAAAACCATCTTGGGCCTTTAGTTTGAAGTACTCTGCACCTCCCAGGTGATTTCTGCTTCTGCTTTTCTGAGTCGGCCCCTAAGGGAAATCCAATGTAACATGAATGAATATGAACTTACCTCAGAAAGGATGACGAGAAGCAGCATATACTACTCCAAAATATGGCATAAGGATTTTTTGAGCTCATTATTTTTAAGAAACAGTAGACACAGGAAAAGCTCTGAAAACCTAGAAGTTATTCTTCATAGGGGAAATTGACATTTATAAGAGAAATCTTATTTGTAAGGGTGTCTCACTCTCTGTACCAGGAAGAGAAGAATGAGACTCTAATTCTCTACAAACTTGTCACTGGAGAAGGTGCCCAACTTAAACCTGCAATAACCACCTTACCTTCATTTACTGTGCTTTTCCTGGTAACTTCCATAACTGGCCTTCCCTAACCCCCAACTTCTTTCTGTGTCTTTAGCTGAAGAAGGTATTTAAGGTGATGGCTTGGGCCATTTTAACTCAATTTTCCTGGTTATCTCCCATGTATATAGGATACATACGTGTGTGTGTGTGTGTGTGTGTGTGTATGTACACTTAACATAGCTAAACATGTTATTAAACTTGTTTGTTCTTCTCCTGTTAATCTGTTTTTTTATTACAAGGATGGGGTCTCAGCCAAGAACCTACAAGGGTAGAGAGAAAATGATTCTTCCTCCCCTACAGTTTGGCAACTCATGATGGGACCTGCTGAGATAACTTTCTAGCTCTGGAACCTGCAGATAGGATCCTGAAAAACTGGCAGAAGCCGTCGAAGGGTAAGAATTCTTACACCATCAGCTGTCTTGGATCTCTGCCTGCAATGCCTAGTTGAGAGAGGAAGGGAAGTTTCACCGAGTCCTTTGCTTTCCAAATTTAGATTAGCAGGAGAAAATATTTGTGTGAGCTGATTCCTTGAGTATAGAGATTCTGGTAAAGGATTTTGTTAGGAATACTCTTGTTTTCTATTGATCGCGTTCCTCAAAGATGGTCATTGTTTTCTATTGTCTCTGTCTTTTGTGTCATTTGTCATAAGGAGGAAAACCGTAAGCCAAATGAGGTTTTATTTTTGTCTTGTTCTATGTCTTGAGAGCTTGAGTTTTTGACCAATTTGAGAATACTCTCTCCGGCCTCCACCCACCAGAAGATGCAAGTATTGGCTTATATCTGGCAGCCAGCCCAATAGGCTGGGATACAAAGTGACAAGCAGCATTCTCTTTGTCCCACTGTGCCAGCTCTCAGGAGTCTGTCTTAAGGGGTCCCAGTCCATAAGGGGCCTTTTAGTCTCAACCTTCATTGTCTCAGTGCTGGGAGAGTCCCGTTCCAGCAGCACCTGCCTGGTGCCACAGATTAGCAAGCGGGTCTGTGACTGGAGGTGTCTCATGTTCTCATGGGAAACTGGAAACAGTTTTCACTACAGCATCTGAATGCCTGTGATAATGAAGGTCTTCGCTTTCTTAGGCTAACACTGCACTGGGAGTGGTCTTTCTGGGTCTTGTGAGAGCCGCATCTTTTGCAACCTCTTAAGGTTGCCTCTTATTTCCATGGTTAAGCCAGAAAAAGGCTTATGGGTTTGAGTCACTATTAAGATTAATATGCCGAGGAAGATCCTATTCATCAACTTCTATATCTGAAAAAAAATTTTTAGAGAACTCTCTTTCTAATCAATTGTTTTATTGGTACCTGTGGAATGATCACATTGAAAAGAGGACATAAAGGAGTATAGCCTCCAGCCTTGGGGACTTTCTTAACAAGATAAAATTACCAAGTCCTTTTTACCTCCATTTTCAGAAGATCCTACCAGATTTAGAGAAGCGTTAGAAAGATCAGTGGCCATATACAATCCCACTCACAGGAGTCTTGGTTGGCTGCTCAGGGATGTTCATCCCTCTCGTGATTGTACTCTCGTCATAGAATAAGCCAGACAGCTCCCTAGGGAAACTCCCCTCACAGAGACACGGATGACCAGAATTTCTCTCAGGCCCTTCTACAAATAATCAGGACATGGATAAGCTGGAAAGTGATGTTCATGGACTGATGGAAGCAATAATAGAGGCTTCCTCCACCAAAAGGAATTGGTCCAAGGTTGAATTTGTACATTCAAAACGGAGAGCATTTGAAGGCCTTTATTGAATGCTTTATACAGACTTTACAAAGGCATACTGCATTAAACCCTGAAATTTCAGAACATAGGAATTTTTTTATTTCCATCTTAATTGGAATGGAAATCTTCTTCCTGATGTAAAGAAGGAAATTGAAGATAATGTAGCTGGATGGACAAGTCAGCCCCACTATATCATTCAGGCTCACCAAATTCCTTGAGGAATTGGAAACAACCTGTGAGACTCCTTAAGAAAGTCTCAGCAAAGAGATTTAAAAGAGACTGTATATGTGGTCAATCACTGTTCTTGCAGCACTTAATGTAAATAATCAGGGCAATTTTATTGAGACTAGATTTATTTTGTAAACAAATTAGTTTTACTGTAATTATATTTGGTAAAAATGGAGTGATTATAGAGAGAAGAATGATGCTTCAGTAGAAACTATAATGCACCTTGTGAATATTTGATTCTAGTCCTGTTGATTGTCTGAGATTTTGTTATATGCCTGTAAACTGGACAGGACCCTGAATTATAGTTTCTTTAAATAATCTGGCTACAACTCTTCAAACTAACATTTCCAATTTTTTTTCACTCTTTTGTCTTGAAGTCACTAAGAACAAATTGTATGAAATTCTTAAAAATCTGTAACATTGTCTAATGTTATCATTTGTAATTCTAGTTATTATCTTAAAATGTATTTTATAGAAATAACCAAAATTTCCTCATTGATTGCACTATAATGAATTTTTTTTTTAAGATTTTATTGGGGAATTGGGGGAGGGGAACAGCATTGGGGAATCAGGGAAGGGGAACAGACAGGTAGACAAATTGCTGTTTTTATTCTTCAGTCTAGTTATGGAGGACGTTGCTTCACTGTCCCATGTTGGTATGATCATTGTGCTCTTCCCGGGTGAGGCGATTGGTCGCCGGCCTCTGAATGGCTGCTCACAGCGGCTCCCAGCAGCTCACACTGGCTGCCAGCCACTCACGTAGCTCACGGCAGCCCACTGCAGCCCCGCTGCAGCCTACGCCATCACTGAATACTCACGGCAGCCCAGCTCCAGGTCAAGCTGTTGTTCATCATCTCAGCTGTAGAGGGCGTGCGTCATTGGCCCTCAATGTGGGATCTGAACCACAGCCCTGCTGCTCAGAGCTGGTGCTCCCAAGCGAGCTCTTAACCAGCTGAACCACTCGGCCAGCCCTATAATGAATTCTTATCAGATCTTTAACCATGGCCATTTTAAGTTTTTTGTCATTTACAGAAATTACTGTTTTGCTTTTGCAAAAGTGTTTCCCAAAGCCCTGCAAACTTAATGTGAACAACTTAAGTATACAATTCAATGAAATGGCCACCGTGGCTCATGTTCAAACACCCTTCATGCCAGTTTGTTGTTTGGGCCACTTAGAAAGTTTACCTGAATGCTTGATGCCATCAGAGACATTCAAACTGCAAAAAATGCTTCATCTAACAATCTTCTGACTGGCTGCCCTCATGACCCACTCAGTTTATAATTTTCCTCAACCATTAACCTTTGTAGGGTTTTTTGTTTGTTTGTTTCCATGGAAATGCCTCTTATTAAATACCCAATTGCTTGCACCATATAGGCCTAACTTTGGGAGCCCATCTCCTTAAATGAGACACAACTATTTAACTGAACCTACCTAGTCTCAAGACTAAGAGACTAGTTCAATAAAATAATATAGCCTATCTATCAACTTAACTTCTGGACTGTGAAACTCCTTTGAAATTTCAAATGTAGGACTGAAAGAGAGCAGAATATATACCATCCCAAAATATGCCTCTTTGGCATAAGAATTATTTTGAGCTGATTAATTTTTAAGAAACATCAGACACTGGAAAAGCTCTGGAAATGTAGAATTAATTACCCTTTTATAGGGGAAATTTACTTTAATAAGAGAAATCTCCATTGGTAAATGTGTCTCCCACTCTGTACCGGGAAGAGAAGGATAAGACTCTAAATCACAGGAAACTCTTATCACTGGAGAAGGTGCCCAACTTAAATCTGCATAACAACCTTACTCCTGTTGACTGTGTTTCTCCGTAACCCCCCTTAACTGGCCTTTCCCCCACCCCCCTTCCCCAACACCTTTCTTTTGTCTTTAGCTGGAGATGGTATTTAAGGTGATGATGGCTCCGGCCTCTTTTGGGAGTTATTCAGTTTTCCTGGGTGTCTCCCGTGTACACAGGAGGTATGCATGTTATTCAACTTCTGAGTTATTTTTCCCCTGTTAATCTCTTTTATTACAGGAATGGGTCTCAGCCAAGAACCCAGAAGGGAAGGGTAAAATTAATTTTCTACTCCTATAAGTACATTTAGAAAGTTTCTGAGTAGTTAACTGTTAAAGTTACAGCATTTTCCTTTTTAGGAGGAGAACCATAAATCAACCATGAGCTCAAAGAAACATAATGTAATCCATTGCTAATGGCAGAATGGTATATTCTTAGCCTCCTCAGAAAGGCGCAGCATACACGGTTCAAACAGCAAAACTGTGGTGGCCATCAAAATTTTGGCAGGGATTACATGACATTTGTTAAACAATTTGGACTTTTAGCTTAGCCATTTCATAAGTTTACAAGGCCTACTCATATACATTGGAATATACACATACACACTTTTCACAATATATATGTTATCTAGAGACCATTTACCTATGTCAACTTTGGCTTCATGGTGATCAAACTGTGGCAAAACTAAATTAGATGCACTGACATAGTCATTACTTAGAACCGACTGTTTTAAAAAAATCTTTGGTGGAACGTTAAAGGCATTATACTTCAGCATGAAGAGAGAAAAATGCTCAATTAAAAATGCCTCAAAATTACAAGATTAAAAAGCTTAAAACTCAACTTTCTTTAAAAAAAAAAAGTCACCCAAATTAATCCTAGAGGTCTCAAGGCCTGATCTCTAAATTAACAGCCCCCCCATCCCCCCCTCACCACCACCTCCATTCCGTGATTTTCTTTATGGCACTATTAAACACACTTAAATTTAATTTAAAAAATAAACAGTAAATCACAGTGGCTTTATAAAATATCAAATTCAAAATTACACAATCTTACAGCCAAAAGTCAAAAGAAATATAAAAACAATTTTGGAATAAAGACTTTTAAAAAGTTTTGCTAAACTCAAATATCTTACAGGCTCCATCACCCATCTCTGTCCCGGTGGCCTTGATGCTGTCCAGTGGGCTGGGTCGGGTGATGTCAGAAGCACTCGGGAATAAACACAAGGGGCTTGTGAGTCCTGTCTTCTAGCTCTGGCGAAGAGTGGGCAGCAGCTTTTAAACTAGGTTGAATTCCCTTAGGTTTAGTTGTAGAATTGTGTCTTTCACAGCAGCAAACACAAAGCGGATATTCTCTGTGTCTGTAGCACATGTGAAGTGGGAATAGATAACTTTCTCTTTGTCAGGATTCTGATCTTGATAAAGTTTCAGGATAAAGTCTCTGGCAGCTTTGACATCCTGCTTTGGTCCTGGTCACGAGGGCAGGTAGAGGAATAAAGAAGAAAGATACCAACTCACTACCAAGTCCTCCCAAACATCATTTTCAATGTACTCTTGTTCTTATTTGGGATGCTTCTTTGAGCTCTTATTTCTAGCGGCATTATTTATATTATATCTCATTATTAACATGTAAATCAGTATTTTAAAGTATCTACTAACATCTACAAATTGTATTTTAAGGCAATTTGTTGAAAAATAGTGACCCAATTTAATTTTCTGATTTGGACCACTTTTGAAGAGAGGTAGTTCTTTATTAACTCAGGCAGACAGAAGTGGGCTAGAGGAGGGAAAGGGAAGAATATGGGAACTAATGGTATTAGGCAACAAGCCTGATTTTAAAGTTTGTGGCTCTATACTGCATGGCCAATACGGTTAATACAAGGAAAAAGGAGAGTGCTGAAACACTACTCCTCTAAATATCAGTGTCAAACTTAGTAATATTTGAGACCTCCGGTACCAGAAGTAATTAGCAATGGGGCATGAACTCTCCTTTGCATTGTCATGTATATAGAGAACCTCAGTGTCTACCCTGTGTCTGGGAAAGGGGCTGCCACCCTTTATCCTGCACATAAAAGTGCCAGGTGCTCCAACCAGCACTAGGAATGCAAGGATAAGTCTGGCACAGCCTCTGCCCTCAGAAGCTGACTGGAGAGAGGGCTGGGTGAGCAGACAATATACTAGAGTGATGAAGGCCAAGAGAGCAGGGGGTGAGGGTCAGAAGAACTTCCCAATGGAGGTGTCTGAACTGGGTCTTGGTGAACAAAATGGAGTTAGCAAAAGGAATTTCCGGTTGCACTCCAGGCATTGGGAGAGGCGCGTGTGGGGGCACTGAGGCGAAAGCACACAGTGATGCAACTGAGCTGAGAGAAAGTCTGTTCGAGGCAGATCAGGGAGGCCCCTATGAGCCATGTTAGGAACGGACTTCAGCAAGGTCAGCACGATGGACGCTTACCTGTGTATTCTGGAAAATAGCTAATTAGATGAGAGTACATGATTTTTTCTTCCAAAAGATCCTTCTTGTTTAAGAACAGAATCACAGATGAGTTCAGAAACCAGGGGTAGGTGATAATGGTTTTAAATAAGGCTTTGCTCTCTTCCATGCGGTTCTAAGTGAGAAACAAGGGACTTAGGGTTAACTAGACAGAAAAGCAATGCTTTGGAAGCAACACGCCGAATCACTGGCTCCATCCACCTGCGCCCCTTTCAGCCAGCTCCAGTCTCGGCGTCACTGTCCCCGCTGAAGCTGGTGAGTATGTGGGCACTTCAGGGCACCAGGCCTCCTGCTTCCATTTCCCCTTTCTGCATCTCTCCTGTATCACCCCAACTCTTCTTGAGCCCCAAACTAACATGTGAGGATATAAGAAAAGCTTTTGTGCAACTTGGGACAAGAAGGGTCACACCCATAATTGAACACGTTTTCTGTGTATAATTATGGGGATTACCAAGAGGGGAAAGTTCACGGCCTCAGATCTGAGACGCCCACATTATATGGGTGTGGGCCTCCAGACTGCGCATTCGAAGTCACGTGATGATGAGGGAAAGGAAGGGTCACCACCCTGGACACCAGCAGGGAAAGGAACTCACCCTACTGAGCACCCGCCCTGTGGCAAGCTTCACATGCAGGCAATACAGGCAGGCTCTACAAGGGGAACAGGCCCCCGTTTTATGAACGAGCATCCTGTATTGTTCATGAAATGTAAATACTTTTCCAAGCCCATACAAGAGTAGGATCTAGTGGACATTATGCAAAAGGACAGTAGAATTTATGAACATTGGATGCTGGCAAGAAAATATCAAATGTTCCTAATTTATGGAGGGCAGATAGGCACATACAGATATTATCTGATAACAATAATTGTTCGAGAGAGCATTCTGCTCTCTCAAGTATTTCTAGGAGGAAAGAGACAAGAACTTCCCTTTAAGGAGGGAAGTGGTCAGCCTGAAAAACATCAAAGCCCAGAGGGACGTGCCATCAATCTCTTAATTCCCTACATCTCCTAGACACATGGGCTCATTCTCCTGCTCAGTACATTTTGGGGGCCTAAGATCTGGAATTTACTACCAGAGAGGTAACCCCTCACTTGCTTTTCAAGCTTCCTTAAAATTTATTATGATCTTATCAATAATGATCTCCAAGGAAACACCGTATATGAAAAAACAATTCCTATACAGCACAGTGAGTGGATCCAACACATACCTACAACCAGGAGGGAAAACTCTGGAGTAGCAACCATAATTTTTCTACAAATACCTTGTGATTTTTTTTTTTAAGAGGAAAAAATGTTTAATTTCTTAGCACATCAGGCTGAAGTACTTGTCCCTGCACACCTGACTAATCTTTTAAGTTTCCTGACAAACATCGTAAGTAATTCCTGAGACAAATTTGTAGCTAATTTTTCATATTGATAACCTGAGGACTTTCCTTTTTAAAAAAATCTCTCTATTGGGAGAGCTGGGCAGCAGCCAAGATTTCTATTCTTTGCACAATGACACTAGTAAATGGGTTAATCCTCCACTAATTAGCTAATGTAACTGCTCCTCAGAGAAAAGTCTGGTCTCAGGCAAAACAAGATACGGTTTGTTCCTAGTTATTGCCTAACCCTGGACAGAGTTCCTTATTAATTAACTTTTATGCCCTAGAAGCAAGAGACATTTTTCTAAAAGGTCAAGAGGTGTTGTGAAGGGTAAGAGGGGAGGAGGATGGTATCCACAGGAAATACCCCCAACCTCACAAAGAAGTGACTGATGGTTCATGTCATTTTCCAGGCAGATCCAGCTAATGGAGTGCGACCCAGCCAGCGCTATGGCTACTCTACAGGGGACGCTGAATGCCTCACGGGAGTGGATCGTCCCAGCTGCCCTGAGCAAGCCCCTCCTAGGGGAAGTGAAGGGCATGTGCCATCCCAGAGCAGCGCCTGGCACCACTCCCCATGCCAGCTCAACTAGGAACCTAATGCAGGAGTGCCGTGGGCCACAGAGGTTGAGAAGCCTGTTCTCAGGTCAAGTTTAGTAGAAATAGCATTGCTTAACTTTGGCTATACAGTAGCATGCCTGGGAGGGCTTGGAAAAGACACCCCCAATACAAACCCAGGAATATGAATCTCTACTGGGGGATCCAAAAGGCGGTATTTTTATTTTTTTAGAACTCCCCAGGGATTTCAGTATGTAGCCAAAGCTAAGAACCAGTGCCTCTAAGTGGCTCCACCCTTGGCAACACATTAGAGTAGACCCCAGCCTCAGGCCACATATACCACCAACTAAATCAGAATCTCAGGTTGGACCCAAGAGTCCGGTTTTTCTTTAAGGTCCCAAGAAATTCCAGCATGCATCCATGTTTGAGAATCAGGTTTCCAGGTCAGTGATTCTCAAACTTTCATGTTTACGTGAATTACCTGGGATCTTGTTAAATGCAGATTCTGATTTATTTGGTCTGGGTTGATTCAGTAGGTCTACATTTCTGACAAGCACCCCGGTGATATCCGTGCTGATAGTCCAGACTTCACATTGAGAAGCAAGATGATTGAACCTCAGAAATAGTCTCACGCCAGAGCAGGATGGCTTCTGGCAAGCTGCAGACATAAGTTTCTGTCCACAGCTAACCAAACTTCCCACCCAACATACCTCATTGTCACCCTCAGCCAGGACCTGGTCATATTCACTCAGGGCAACCAGAAAGATGATGGAGGTGACGCTCTCAAAGCAGTGGATCCATTTCCGTCTTTCAGAGCGCTGGCCTCCAACATCGACCATCCTGTTCAAAGAAACACAGATCACTCAATAGCTGGAATACATGACTCTTTGAAGAAAAGGGACATGAGTCATTATATCACTTTTTTGGGTCCTCAGTAACTTTGAGAGTGAAAAGGGATCCAATGATTAAAATGTTTGAGCACCGCTGCTTTGGACAAGGAGGAACCACTGGAAGTTTCCTAGCAAAGGAGGCACAGAATGTAAGTGAAGTTACTGAGAACAGGTGCAGAGGTCGCTCAGGTGGACCCTGCCTGAGGACACTGGTTAGGAAACCTGCTGCAGCGATAGGTCCCGGCAGGAAGCACAAGCATCCACTTGGGCACTGCGCTGCCCACTCTAGTGCCAGGACACCAGCCACCAAGGGGCAGGAAGGCAGGCAGGTCCACTCAGCCTCCGCCAGGCCTTTCCCCCTTCTGTTCTCATGGCTCCTCTCATTTATCCACAGATCTTTCTCTGTTAGGTGGCTGCCACCACTCCTTCCCTGTAAAGATCTGTAAGTGCTGTCTGTCCAATGTGGAAATCCAAAGTGTCTGTGGGAAAGATTTCAGGGACTCGGAGCCAAAGGACTGTCACAAGCATGAATGCTACAGGGGTCAGGCCGTCTATGAACACGAGTCAGGTGGCCCTCTGCACAGTAGAAAAGCATGCACTTGGAGAGCGCCAGGGGCCCTGTCTGAAGGGATGACTGCTACCCAACTGTAGTCAAGCACCAAGGGACACAAATGCAGACTCACTATGACCAGGTCCTCAAACTTTTCCAGAGAAACTAGATATTTTACGTGAAATAGACCAATTTTTAAATGTTGGCTCTAAAGTTTTTTTAGAGCACTAAGTGGGCCAAAGAGAATACATCTGTGGACCAGATACAGGTTTCGGAAGTTGCAAGCAGCATTGACTCTGAAAAGGTTTAGATAAATTCATGGGCACACAGCACAGATGTGCTCACAAAGATGCAGGTTTCTTAGGGGCTCAAACACTGGGCTCCCCGAATGCCACAGTGCTCCAGAAGCCCTGGGATGTAACGGGGTTTACAGACAGGACCTGCATTTGCGTTGTCTCAACTAGAAAAGCATGTGTAATAGTTATTTGGGGGAACAAGGGCAATCAATAATGGATATAAAAGTGCTTTGATTCCATAGCAAATACCTACTATTATAAAACCTCCTTAATCTGGAAGCGAGAGCAAAGGGTGAGAGAGAATTATATTCAGGAAATTGCAAATTGTACTTCACAGTCCTTAGACCTCTTTTTTCAATGAGTAAAATTGATGAAAATCATTTTTTAAATTATGTGGGGCACTTGGCACTACATGATTTGAAAACCATTGATTCCGTTTAATCCGGTGGAATAGTGCTTCTCAAACTATCTGTGGGGAAGTACTAAGTTTTTGTTTTGGCTTTATTTTGTTTGCTTTTCCAATCTAATGTTTTTGTTAAAAATACATGTATAAATAACTAGAAAAATTCAATAAAAAATATATGAAAAATCCTCAATTTTCTAAACATTACATTTAATAAACCTTATGTAATGTTTAAGTCAATCAATCAGAAAAACATAGAGTGAAAAACATAGTTTTAAAAATTACATGCATAGATTTTTGAAAGTGTGCCAATAGGCAAATAATTTAGAAAATCATTATTATATACATAACATTTTCTTGTCAGGAATGAAATAAGAATTTTGCATAGTTAATGTGAAACACTGTATATATCAATATTAAAGTTTTGGCACAATAAAAAAAGTGCTTTGAAATTTGCAGTACTATGCATATGTACCATATTACTCATTTTTGCCATAATTAAATGCAATGAAGATTTACTTAAGTCATCCTAAAAGTACTTCCTATATTTATATGTAGAAATTCATACATTTTTACACAGCTGTAAAATAGTTTATATATACATTATCTTACATAATTTTCAATACACATTTTGTATTCTTTGTTTTTTTTTCCAGGATAAAACTTGGAGAAGGGAATAAAAAGGGAGAGAAATACTTAACTTTAAGGAAAAGGCATCAGTATATTCAATTTGTGGATTACAAATTGAGTGTGCGTGTGTGTGTGTGTGTGTGTGTGTGTGTGTGTGTGTGTGTGTTTTACACCTAAGAATCATCCCACACATCAGTAAGGAGACTTCACCTCTAAGGGGAATAGAATCATGAGTTCCTTTCTATTCCAGGACTTGAGACCTACCATAATTCTAAATACTGTGTGATGGAGAGAGCCATATTGCCCCCGAAGATATAACCCCTTTTAGGAATAATACATTTAAGAGTCTTCATGGGGACTTCCAAGCCTAGATAAACAGATCTTAGTGGACCATGTCAGGGAGACATTCTTACCTGAAGACGATATTTTCCAAGTCAAACGGATACTCGATGATGCCGGTCGTGGGCACTCGAACACGAAGTATGTCTTGCTCCGTTGGCACGAACGACGGCGTGGCGATCCGGTCAATGTCAGTCAGGTAACTGTAACATTAGAGGACTAGGTGCTGAGGCTCAAATTTAGAGAAGGGAGAAGTGTCTCACACTCCAGGGAAGTCACCTCAACTCAGAGCGACCCCCACTCAGATTCACAGGCTCCATCAGTGATTATGAGAGCCAACACTCCAGCCCTCCTCCAACTGTTTGGAAAGAATATGGATCAGAAGCTTCATGAGTTTTCGTGGAAATCTGTAGGTCCCTCCATCTCTCCTCCTGATTCTAAGCTCAGTCACTATCTGTCCAGTGAGATACAGCGGGGCAGGAAGCAGTAGGTTATTGGCATCTGCTCTGATCGCTCATCTGTCCTCCTTCCAAGGCCCTTCCCCTCCCACACTCACCCTCATCCAAGAACATCATAGAATGTAGATGCTGCTCTTCAACACTTTTCTCAATGAAGTAGAGCTTCTAAGAAAATATAAAGGCATAAAACAGGCCAACGGGAAGTTCTTTCAAAAATAACAAGAAAACGTTTTCCTGTTACACTGGGAAATTAAACATCTAAAATAACCCAAAACTTGTCTTGGATTATGTTTGGCCATATGTTAAAACCCTGAGCTTAAAACCTTCCACTTTTCTGTGGCAAAACAAGAAGACACTTTTGTTAAGGCCTTAATAAAAGGCATTTTGGGGTAAAATAACTGCAACTCAGCCCCTGGCCAAACAGAGAGTTGGTGATTCTGAGCCCCTGCAAACTGAGGCAGGCCTGCCTTCTCCCTGCACAGGCAGAGCTCACCTCATTCTGAGCAGGTGGCATGAAGGGGACCAAAAGGGAACAGGCTCACACTTCACTGTGCAGCCCGCAGCACAGGAAGCAAACCGCTGCGGCAGCCTTCGGAGGCCCACTCCCTGTGCCCCGTGCGTGACTCCAAGGCTTATCACCGTTGACTTCTGTGTGTGCCTTTTTTTTACTTAGGCCTATCTCATTCTACCAGGCTGTATATTCCTTGATGCTAGAGAGCACTGGTACCTGCCACCCTTCCACAGTGCCTGGTCCACGGCAGGCACACATCAAAGCTTTGTGAAATGAATGCTTGTCCAAATAAGCAGACGTGATTAGCACAGCAGATGACAGCCACTGACCTGGACCAAGGAAATGCACAAGTGTCTTCAGCCTCACCAGTGGGACACCTGTCCAGGTTTATCTTCTCTGGCGCAGCTCTGTCTACCCCCCTGCTATTTCCCACATTCTTCTCGAACTTGCCCCAGTTTTCAGGGCTCCACTGAATTTTCTAGCTGTTCCAGTGGGTCTTTTCCCAGTGATTCTACATCAAGAGCCCCAGCCCCTCCTCAGGGCCTTCACAGAAGGAAACGGCATTAGGCTGTCTCAGGAAAGGGCCGGGGACGCCTTGGCCGACTGGGGGGCTGTCCCCGGCTTCCCAGCTGCCAAAGGCGGTCTGCCCTCCCCCCTTGGGACACTGCCTCCCTTCCAGCTCTTTTCTGTGTTGATCTAACATGTTAGTGGGACTTCTTTTATTTCCTTTTTCTGCTTTGCACTTAAATGTTCCTGAACTCAGATAAGTTGTGCCAACCTGGCTTAATGGGTTAAACACTCAGCCTGGGACAAACGCCCAAGGGAAACTGAGGTAAAATTCTGGTTTCCTTTCCTGCTCACTGTCTTTTCCAGATGGTGGGGTAAATCACCCACTCACGCCAGCACCTGAAGGGAAGGCGACATCTCGGGGAAGGATTTCATGGCCCTCAGAAGATGGAAGATGATGACACCGGCCAAGCGGAGAAAGAGCTGAGCTGCAGGAACGGGAACCATCCCCTCCTTAAGAAGGACCGTGATTAAACTATTTGCCCAGTGATCTGGCTGACGGAGGCATTGCCTCAGGGAATTCTTAAGAAAATGAAATTCTGTGATCTTCCTGGGATAGTCTGCATGCAGGACCATCTATTTCTTTTACCCTAAAGATAATTTATTTAAAACTAGAGCTTTATGGATCCAAAATACAGTGTATAGGCCTTTGCATTTAATAAACAAAGGGCTCTAGGACTGAGATTCCTGTGTGCTGGGTCCGCAGAACCTAGCTCATCCACTAGAGGGCAGCACAAGACCAGCCCTTACAGGGCCTAGTGTGTTGCAGCCTGAACTCCGATTTTAGAGTAATTGAACCTGGAGTCTACTGATCAGGAAGCCAGAAGGCAGAGAGATAGGGAGAGGAGGAAAGTAGAAACCAGGAGCAGGTGTAGTCCTTATTTAAATCAGATCATTTCAGCACCCCAAATGAGATCAGTTCCACCACGGGAACCCCACCTTTGATTTAGCCTCTTATTGAAAAGGACAGAGGCTTAGAGCATGATGAGGAAAGGCAGGTACGGGCAAGTAGAGAGATCTGAGATACACAAGGAGACTAAAGGCTTTAGGAGGCGGGAAGAGAGACACCAGGAAGGAAGAGGGGACTCAGACGAGCAGAAGGGAGAAGTGTTGTTGCTGAGGAAAAAGCAGCTGCTACACATGCTTTGAAGTATATGTAGCACACTTGACTGAGGGCCCCTTAGGCAACCACGCCCAGGGCCCTGTACTCACTATTTGGTAGAGTCTGACAGCTGGTATTCCCTCCTCCTGTCGTAGCATTCCTGGATTCCTGGGTCCAGCCAGAGCTGCTTGATGGCCTCCACCTGGTCCCTAGGGAGCGCAGAGACCTTGTCTACTTCCACTTCTCTGATTAGCTGGGCATTTTCCTACTCAAAAGAAAGAGAACCTTTCATTAGGCAAAGGAAAGGAGGCCAACCCATTGGTGACTCAGGGACAAGACTTGCCCTGGTTCATGGATCAGGGAAGATCTCCCTAGGTGCCGGGATGTGGTAGGTGGTGCCCTCCAGAGGGGCGGCTCACAGCCAAGCCCCTCAGCTGTAGCCACGTTGAGTGGAGATGATGTGTCTGTAACTCAGTGCAGAGAACCACAAAACCCAACACCTGTGGCTTTCGGCCCCAGCAGTACTCAGGGGCCAGTTTCATCAGCATTCAACACCCCGTCATGAGTAAAGAAACACTGGAATGATCATCATAGTACTAACGCACTTTTCTTCCTCATTAATCTGCTATCATTTGAATATCTGCATAGCCAATGGAGCAATTTAAAAATAATCCTTTGTCCGTGTGATACCAAGGGGGGGAAAGTGGAACAGGTGGAAGCAATAAGGGAATGGCATTGTCTTTAGAGGCTTGAAAAACACTAACACTAACACCAGCTAATCGCCAGTCTGCTTTCTTTTTCCTCTTTCCTTCATTTAAGAAAAATTTTAATAGACTATTTTTTAGAGCAGTTTTAGGTTGACAGCAAAACTGAGCAGAAAGTACAGAGAGTTATCATACAGTATGCTTTTTATTATCCTGTGTCACTGATAAAACTCCCACGGGGAGAACCACTTCCATTACAACCCTACTGCCATACCACTGATTGCTATACTGTTATTATATTTATTATTATTATCATTACTAATTAATTATTGCACTAATATTATTGCCCTATTGCAGTAATTAAGATCACTAGTACTGCAATTATTACTATTATTGCAGTTACCATTTATTACCCACTTAGTATGTGCCAAGGGTTCTACATACATTATCTCATTTAATTAATGGAAGGCTAGCACAACACCAGGAATCTTTCCAAACCTTAGCAAATAAAAATGATAAGGTTGGTCTGCATCCACAACGTGTCCGTGTGCTGGTCCCAGAGACTCAGCATCCTATCCTTGTCTGCAAGTAGCAGCAGACGAGATTCCTGCCGAGAGACAGGAGCCTGGCCCGTTCTCTGCTCTGCCATCTTGCCACACCTCACAGCAGTTAACATCATGCAGAGCTGGCTATTCACTGGCAGCTGCGAGTCATCAGCACAGCATCCATTTGGCAGCTGTGATCTCCTCAAGTATATACAGTACCTCCTGAAAAGTTGCTCTTCACTTGCATTGCTCATTTTCTTAATAGTCCAACAGGAAGCCAGAGAAGAAGGAGATCTCCTAGATTCACCTGTCTCGAACACAGCTGAGGGCTGTGAGAAAATCAGCATGACTTTGCACTACATGACATCACAAGAATGGATAAAAACTCTTCCCCTAGGTCTGGCCCAGTGGTGCGATGGTTAAGAACTGGCTTGGGACGCCAGAGGGCCCCGGTTTGGATCCCACATATGAGGGCCAGTGACACTGCCCTCTACAGCTAAGATGCTGAACAACAGCTCAACCTGGAGCTGGGCTGCCTTGAGTCGTTGGCAACAGCTAGGCTGCAGCCCCTGCTGCAGTGGGTTGCCATGGGCTACCGTATGTAGCGGGCAGCCAGCGTGAGCGGCCAGGAGCCTCAGTGAGCGCAACTGATCTGCCTCGCCCGGGAAAAGCACAATGATGGTGCCAACTTGGGCCAGTGAAGCAACGTCCTCTACAACTAGACTGAAGAACAAAAGGACAGCAACTTGTCTGTTCCCCTCCCCCAATTCCCCACCGCTGTTCCCATGCCCTCAATTCTTCAATAAAAAAATCTTTAAAAAAACAAAACAAAACAGAACAAAAAACTCTTCCCCTAGACTGCAGGATCCTCAGCAGGTAGATTCTGAAACAAGGTCAAGATAGGATGGATTAGTGGGAAGTACCCTGGATGAGGAATCAGGGCCCTGAGTTCTAAGTAGTGCAGTTGGGACTTAAGGATCTTAACAAGTTACCTGCCTCAGCATCCTCATTTGTAAAAGGAGCCAGTGATTTTCAGAACCCAAATGTAAGTAGAATAAGCCTTATTATTGTAATAGGTGCCTAATAAATATTTCTTGTTTGCAGAACAGGACACGTTGATACATAGCCCTTAAACTACGATTTCTAACCGCCCACTAGCACGTTTTGCATTATCTGTCCTATTCATCCAGAGAGGATGATAAATGGAGAACCTGAACAGTGTTTATATGGAGCAGAAGGGCTGTCTCCCACTTCCGCCCCTCCTCTCACCAGCTTTTCTCCTCCCAAAGGGATCAGATGGTCTCTTCTTCCCCTGTGCTTAGCTCTACCATCTAAATTTAAATTATCTGTTGTCCTTTCTGTCTTCATGACAAGTCAGAAAATGCCATGAGGGCAGAGCCAATGTCTTCTTGGTCCTTATATCCCAGAACCTTGGGCAGTGTCTGGCAAATAACAGGTGCCCATCTATTGGTGCAGGGGTCCAATAAACATGTGCAGCACTCATAAAAATGTATCTGTGAGAAAAATCACAAGGAAATAACAGCCAAAGGATTCTAGGGCAGGACAGAAGCCTCTGCCGGTGGTGGTGTTTGCACAAGGAGCTAGAGAACAGAAAAGTCTCTCGGAGGAGGAAATGCTCTGGTGACTTCTGGCCAACATGTCTTCCTCTGTCTGCCCCTGGTGAAAGTCAGCATCTTCGCTTTTTAGGTGCCTGCCTCTTATTCTGCTCTCCTAAATTTAACTATTAAATTCAGCTGAACTGCTAAGAGGTGGCCCTGTGAGAATCATCAGAGATGTTACAAATATTTCTGCCTCTTCTCCTCACAAATGCAATGTAGGATTGTACTCTGTGGTGAATGAAATGTGGATGCAAATTTATCTCTTTTTGCAAGAAACCGAGTCATTCAGGAAGCCTGGCTGATGGAGGCTGCATTTTGTCTCGTGACAATCACCACGGCAGGTGAAGGGAATGTGGTAAATTACTCACTAGCTCTTTAATGAGCAGAGAGACCCTCTCATATACCATATTACATATGCAGCATGAGTGAGAGATCAACTTTTATTGGTTAAGTAAGCTGAATTTTGGTGGCAGTTTGTTACTGCAGCATAACCTGCTCTATCCTGACTGACACACGTTGCATTGGATAAGCCCAGCGTCCGGCTCTTCCAGCAATTAGAAAAAGTGGATTCCAGTGAAATATCACAGAGCAATGCAGGCTTCTTCATAGGCTGCTGGGGGATGGAATTTGGGAAAAGACATAGACCTGAACTTTCAGGTAACCAGGGGAGCTCAGCCAGGAGAAAAAGACATTTTGTCTGTTCAGCCAAGTGAGAGGACTTCTTGGGGAATCTGGCTTGGTAGAAGAGGGGAGCTCAGTCTTCTTGGAAACCCAACAATGGAACATGGGTTTGGAACAGACTGAACTCAAGAGGCCCAGAAGTATTCCAAGTTTAGAGGTCTCCTGGTTAGCTCTCCTACCTGTCAAGATCATTTTCTTAAACTTCTGATTTTTAAATAATTTAAGACTTGCGAAAGTGTGGGGGAAATAGCATAAGAGTTCTTCTGTGCCTTTCAAGATTGCGCAAATGTTAACAATTTGCTACCCTGATTTATCATTCATCCCCTCTCCCTCCAAGTGTGTGAAGACACACACGCACACATATACTTTTTTTCTAAAATATTTGAGAAGTTGCAGATAGAATGCCTCTTTATCTCTAAAGTTTTCCGTGTGATTTCCCAAAAAACAAGGACATTCGCTTATATAACCATAGTATAATGATCAAAATCAGGAAATTAACACTGACACACTATTGTAATTTAATCTTCAGACCTTATCCAAAATTTGCCAATTATCCTAGTAACGTCCTTTACCTGCCCAATCAAGGGTCAGATAATGCATGCAGTTGTCTCTTTCGTCTCCATTTATCTGAAAAGGTTCTGTAGTCAGAGAAGTCACTTTCATCACTCTGGTTAAGAACGGCCTCACAAGGATATGTTCTTTAGTCACATGTCATCATGAGGAAGGCTGGCAGATGACACAGCCATGCCCAGAGAATGTTCCGGGGGCAAATACTATGAAGGGTAGGGAGGAAGAGAATGACCTGGTTTTTTATATAAATTATATTGAAATATGATATGAATGACTTTTGTACAGCAGGCCCTCGAATAATGCTTTCTTAAACATCATTTCGTTGTAAAGTTGATGAGATGCCACAGAAACTTAACTCTTGTTTATATCAATCAATTAACCTATGGTAAAACTGGTTTTGTTATATGCAGTTTCGCTTAAAGTCACGGACCCTATCGTCACCGTCAAGTGAGGACTTAGCGTACACTGTTAATGTCTGTGTGTTACAAAAAGTGGGGCATTGTGCATATTTTTCTCTTGTCTAAATAGTTTCATACACAGGAGCATGGGCATTTTGAGAGGCCGTGCAGACTAACTCTGCAGTGCACGCCCTGTAGAGGAGGGGGGGCCCTTATGCGAAGGAGGAGCAGTTTTGTGTCACTTAAGACTTAATAAGCGACTTGTGTCGCTTATTCATCTCATGGAAAGAGGGAAAGAAAAGCTGGAAGAGGGTCAGGCTTAAGGAAATGCTGCGACTTGGGTAAGAGACATGCTGAGTCCAAGGTGGCTGCCATCTAAGCAGAGATGTCCAGGAAGTAGGTGAGTAAAATAGGTCTGTAGTTCATAGGAGAGACCTGTGCCAGAGAAGCATATTGAATTGAAATCACCTAACATCTGTTTCATTGGAAAGAAACAAAAATCACAAAGGAGTAAATATTATAGGAGCAAATTCAGCAGATACAGAAACATGACCAGTTTTCTCAAACACAGAGCTCGTAGCTGGCTTTTCCTCTTTCCCTTTCTCAAAAAACCCCACCATTTTCACTGCTCTGAAGGAGGAACACGGAAAACAGATGTCCTACATGTGTGCTTTGCTCAGAAATTCCCAGGGTAACAATGAAAGGGGCTGCTCATGAAGTGGCACCTTGCTGGTTTCACACATGGATC